TTACACTTAAAATAAGACTGTTTTGTAGTTCCTTTTAGTTCAATGGTCTTCAGATTTATTTCCCTCTTGGGGTACTCCTGAAAAGTTCTGAAAATCTGTGTGTCACTTTGTATAATTCAAGCTCATATTTAAAAAACAAAACAAAACAAAACTTTTTATCATATATCCAAATATTAGCAAAGGATGTTTTTCTGTTTTGCATGAAATGCTGTTTGGGGTTTCTCTCTTCCTTAAATGGACCCTTGTTTGTTTGTTTGTTTTCTCTTTCCTTTCCTCCTCCTCTTCTTCTTCACATTTTTGTTTAAAAGACAGTCTTGTTTATGGGCAATTAGTTTGTCTCAACCTTTTTTTCCCCATGAAATGAATTATTTTTACTTTATGCATTTTCATTTAATGCTATGAATTGAGTTGTGTCCCTCCCAAATTCATGTTGAAGCTCTAACTCCCACTGTGATTTTACTGAGTTAGTTAAATGAAGTCATGTGGGTGGGATCCTAATCCAAGAGGATATGTGGCCTTATAACAGGAAGAGAGATCTCTCTCTCTCTCTGTCTCGCTCTCCCAGTGTGCATGAAACAAGGAAAGACCATGTGAAGATACAGAAAGAAGGCAGCCATCTACAAACAAGAAATAGCACTCTCACCAGCACTTTGATCTTGGGTTATCCAGCCTTTAGAACTATGAGAAATAAATTTGTTATTTAGGCCACCCAGTCTATGGTATTTTGTTATGGCAGCATGAGCTGAGTAATACATTTAACATGCACTTTCTGTCATTGTGCTTTAGGTTTATCTTTTATATGCAACTTTTAGTGGAGTTTATGAATATAATTTGAGATGCCTTTTAGGTAGTAGTCGTTGGTTGTGAACATTCAGTACTACACATTTTATACTTAGGCTGACTTTTGCCTTCTTAGTTACTACCCATTCATCCAAATCATCATTTTTAATAGCGTATTCATTCATTTGGTCAACAAATACTTTGAGTACCCTTTATGTACCAAGCACTGTTCAGGTAACTTGGGATACAACAGTGAGCAAAATAAAGATCCCTGTCTCCAGACTCACATTTCTAGAAGGGGAGTCTGAATAACTATACTATTTATAGTAAGGAAGCAAATTAAAGCATATATGAGAAGATGATAAATTCTATGGAAAAGAAAAGCAGAGTAAAGATCAGAGTGTGTGTCTGGAACAAGGCTGGGACATTGGCTGCAGCATGGAATAGTGCAGTCAGGGTAGGTTAAGTTAGAAAAATGAGAATTTGAGCAAACGTCTCAAGGTGACAGTCAAGCAGATTTCTCAGTAGAATTTAAGTCAAGAAAACAATTAGAGCTGGGTGCATGGGTGGCTCAGTCAGTTAAGCATCTGACTGCAGTTCAGGTCATGATCTCTCGGTTCGTGGGTTCGAACCCCACATTGGGCTCTGTGCTGACAGCTTGGAGCCTGGAGCCTGCTTCAGATCCTGTGTCTCCTTCTCTCTCTGCCCTTCCCCCTGCTCATGCTCTACCTGTCTGTCTCTCTCAAAAATAAACACTAAAAAAATTAAAAAAAAAAAAAAAGAAAACAATTAGAGCAAAAGGTGTCAGGCACGATGGTATCTGATGCATTCTAGAAAGAGCAGGGACAGGGGCGCCTGGGTGGCGCAGTCGGTTAAGCGTCCGACTTCAGCCAGGTCACGATCTCGCCGTCCGTGAGTTCGAGCCCCGCGTCGGGCTCTGGGCTGATGGCTCAGAGCCTGGAGCCTGTTTCCAATTCTGTGTCTCCCTGTCTCTCTGCCCCTCCCCCGTTCATGCTCTGTCTCTCTCTGTCCCAAAAATAAATAAACATTGAAAAAAAAAAATTAAAAAAAAAAAAAAAAAAGAAAGAGCAGGGACACCAAGTGTGGATTGAGTGCAAACAGTAGATGAAGTGAGAGGTAACAAGATCAGGATGTACAGGGGTCTTACATACCACTATAACGTTACATCAAATAGACTCAAATTTACTTTATCCTCTAATTGAAATGATTGGTTGCAATTTCCTGCTAGTGGAAATAAAACTATCATGCACGCTTTTGTCCACACAGCTTTTCTTTTCCATACTGAGAATTTTTCCTCAGGAAAAAAATGTGCTGAGATTAGGCAACTGGTGCTCAGCAACACTGAATCATTTGGTAACATAGTTAACAAATAACAGAATGGAATTTATATTCCAGTCTGCCTGGATCTTAAAATTTTATATCCCATATTACCTTAAGAAAATATTGGAATATTTGGAATATTGGAATATTTCTAAGTTAAATACACCAAGACATTAGAAAGTGAAAGCAGTGCCAGAAAGAATAAAGACTTTCAGGTCAGTCAGAAGTATTCAAGAGAGCATATGGAGAAGAAAACCAAAACACCTGCACCAAGTATGTTGGTACATCCATTTCTTGAAGACCAAGAAAACTTCACTGAATAAATTGGCCCCTTTTCTCCCTATAAAGACCAGGAAATCTGTACAAAAAGAAATTTCTACCAATTTAACAGGCTAAGCTCTAATTGTTAGTTTTACATTTTTTTAAATGTTTATTTATTTTTGAGAGAGACGGAGACAGAATGTGAGTGGGTTAGGGGCAGAGAGAAAGGGAGACACAGAATCCGAAGCAGGCTCCAGGATCTGAGCTGTCAGCACAGAGCCTGATGCGGAGCTCGAACTCAGGATCTGTGAGATCATGACCTGAGCTGAAGTCCGACCGACTGAGCCACCCAGGCGCCCCTAATTGTTATTTTTAAAAAACTTCATTTACATTATAGAAGGGAGACAGCTTCCACCAACACCTTCAGCAATACTTGGGAACTGGTTACAAATATACAATTTCAGATCTCACCCCAGATCTACTGAATCGAATCTCTATTCTTTTAATTTTTTTAAGTTTTATTTATTTATTTTGAGAGAGAAAGAGACAGCATGAGCAGGGAAGGGGTAAAGAGAGGGAGAGAGAATCCCAAGCAGGTTTCACACTGTCAGTGCAGAGCCCTATGTGGGGCTCGAACTCACAAACCGTGAGATCATGACCTGAGCTGAAATCAGGAGTTGGATGCTTAACTGACTGAGCCACCCAGGCACCCCAGAATCTATATTTTTAACAACATCCCTGAATCATCCATATGCACATTAAGAAGCCTGCTATAATAAAACAGTCCCAAGCCTATTCAGATGGTCCCTCAGGTCCTCCTTTTCCCAAAATTCCCTGTGAGATTTTCTTCCTATACTTCAACCATAATAACTTACCCCAACAGACATAATGCAGAAACAGATATGAGAATTGGGCTGTCTTCTACTAAATCAGACATTAAAGAATCTATGAAAATATAAATAATGTCTCTCTTCTTGTTTTGAAAAAGCTATTTTTCATAAAAATGTTATTTATGTTAACATGTAATGGGCTTATTATTGTTACTTTTACTTATTTATTATTGAGATATAATTGACATATTACCATTACAGTAGTTTCAGATGCACATGATTTCAATATATGTATTCGCTGTAAATAATCAACACGGTAAGTCTAGTTAACATCCATCACTACACATACTCATTTTTTCCTTCTAATGACAACTTTTAAGGTATACTCTTTTAACAACTTTAAAATATACATGCAGTATTAACTATAGTCACTGAGCTGTACGTTACATTCCCATGGTACTTTATAGCTGGAAGTTTGTACCTTTTGACCCCCTTCACCCATTTCCACGCCCTGCCCCCAACCACAAATCTGTTCTCTGTGTCTAGAGAGACTGTGTGTCTTTTTTTTTTTTTTGCTTGTTTTCTGTAAGAGTCAACTTCTAAGTGAAATCATACAGTATCTGTCTGACTTACTTCACTTACCATAATCTCTATTGTTCCTTTTAATGAACTAAATTATGTACTTGTACAATTTGTTTTGTAGATATCTTTTGATACCCATATGGATAGATACAACCCCCCAAATAAAAACAATCTCTGAGGTGGTCCTTTAACTTTCAGGGCATAAAAAAAGTAGTGACACCAAAAATCTGAGGCTCACACTCTTAGGACGTTCTGGGGAAGACTTTAGAAAAGTATGTGCATCCTAAAGTCAGGTCACCGCCTCGGTGAAGTCCTCCCAACTATCCTCAGGAATAACACACGTTTCCTCTCCCATAGCATCTCAGAGTTCCACCAATGTTATAATGAGTTAGTTTATCATTCCTGTCATTCTCCTTAATAGTGAATCCCGGATGCTTCCAGTTTATCCGATGAATGGATTTTATACGATCTAAACTTTTGATCTTATAAACACTACCTTAATAGGCACAGAGCCACTTAGAAACTCTATTAACTCTCCTGGATTTAATTAATTAAAGGATTTGTTAAACAAATCTCAATGTCGTTGTGTGATGGGGCTGGTGTCAGGTCTTTGCTGTCCCAGGCTGCCTTCTTCGGGGCACTCCTCCACATAGGCTTCGCAAAGGGTGCTCCTGCGATCTCCAGATCTGCCAGTCGGGGAGTCCCAGTGACCCGTTCACAATCAGGACGCGGCCTTCAGCCACCTTTCTAAGATGAAAGGTTGCAGCCCGAACTCGAGCAACCCCGCGGTGAGGCGGTCACGGCCGACATCCCCGCCCGCCCTCGCCGACGTGGGTCCCACCAGGCCCAGCCCCTACCCGCGGAGTCTCCGGCCCAGACTGGCGCGCCTTGCTCGCCGCCGCGTTCAGGGTCCCCAGGAAGGGTAGGTGTCGCCGCCCCTACCCCGTAGACCACCCCCTACCCCCGGGCCGTTCAGCTGGAGCCCGGCGGGCACTGACCTCGCGGACGGCGGTGAACGCAGGGCACACCGGCCACCCCACATGCGCAGGGAGCTGCGGAGCAGGCGTGCAGCCATGGCTGGGACGGCGAAGGGAGGCAGGGGCGCAGGACGCCACTCCTCGGCGACTCTAGGGCGGAGTTCCCCGCGAGCCGACAGTCTTTCACGGTCCTACGCGGCTTAATGGGGATAAAAGCGCCCGGCTGCGCAGCCGGAAGCCAGAAGACCTGCCAGCCCTCGAGCAGGCGGGCGGAGCGTAGCCCAGCGTTGCAACACTCCCCTCTTCAGAGTCGCAGCCACCCAAGTAGTATTTGATTTGAATTCCTGCTATGCCATTTTCCAGAAGTCATGAAATACTGTGTAATAACCAACATTTCAACGGGATGATAGTCTGAGCTGTTGAAATTTACGAACTTGGTTTTTGGAGATGGGAAATCTCTGAAGGATTTTGAACTCTAAATAGGGTTTGCCGAGTGGAATTCTAAGGAGGTAAGAGAGGCCATTTAGACCATTCAACTAGTGGAGGACAGTTATCAAGGCCTGAACTTGGGCAAGTGAAAACAAGATTTTGTGTTAGAAATCAAGAACTTATTCACTGAATGCAGAATATCAGGAAGTTAAAAACTAAAAAGGGAGTTAATACCGATTAGGTATTAATATTAGGTGAATAATACTTGTTGACTTGAGGGAAGCACCGGGCCCCTCGCAGGCTTGCCAAAATTCTAGACTTGGCTGGCTGGTGGTCTTAGGACCTCCGCCATTAGGAGTCTGTGCCGGGTATTTATAAGCTTCATGGGACCAGACTCTTGGTTTTTCAAGATGGTAATTGGCTGATCAAATTACCTGTCTGTATGGGGCAATAAGAGACCTTTTTCTGCATGATCTTGCTGAACGTCTGAAAAATAATAATACAACACTGCTTTAGAGTGCCTCAGTGTGGTCTGAGAATCAGGCAGCAGCAGCACTACATTTTGAATCATAACATTTGATGATGAGGTCCAGGATCCTATAGTTACACATCTCACAAGTGATTTTTTTTATAGGCTTATTAATTCACTTTTAATTACCTCGTATGAAAACACTGTGGTGGCAACAGCTGGAGACTGGATCCTCTGCATGGAGACTCTTCTGTGTTTTACTAGAAGGTTCATGAACTCCTGTTAGGGAAACTTGGTGAACGGGGCCACTTTCTAGAGGCTGTCTTATTGAGATAGCCATAGATCTTAGAGATGGCATAAAAGGTGACCTTGGCAAAGTTGCCCGTGGTGGCAGTGCAATCTTTGGTGTAGGTGTGGCTGTTGTCTCTATCAGTTATCCTCAGCAGCTTCTTGGGCCCAGATGAGTCTAGTGCTTCCAGGGGAAGCACTACCAGGCTAGCCATACCAGTGATGAAATTTGAAGTGGGGTTCGCAAGAAAACGGCTAAGAAAGAATAATTGAGACATCTTTGGTGCAAAAAAAGTGATTTTATTAAAGCACGTTAACAGGACCTATGGGCAGAAAGAGCTGCGCTGGGACTGTGAGATGCGACTGATGATATACTTTCAAGTTTGTGAAGGGAGGGGGGTATAGCTAACTTAGGTCTCCAAGGAATTTCTGGATGCTGAAAGTAGGGTCTCACAGGACCCTGAAGATTTAGCTATTCTCAAGATAAGGTTGCTTTTAGTTTAGTTTTTTTTTTTAATGTTTATTTTTAAGAGAGAGACAGAGGGAGAGAGACAAAGTGAGAGTGGGGGAGGGGCAGAGAGAGAGGGAGACAGAATCTGAAGCAGGTTTCAGGCTCTGAGCTGTCAGCACAGAGACTCACACGGGTCTCAAACCCAGGAACTGTGAGCCCATGATCTGAGCGGAAGTCAGATGCACTGAGCCACCCAGGTGCCCCTAGTTTTTAAGGAAGTGTAAACGTTAAGGCATTATGGCAACCATAAAGGTCTTGGGGAGTGTTACATGCTGCAGGTCTCTGACATCTATCAGTGGGTTGCAGGCTAGAGGGGAATTTAATTTAAACTACATTTTTCTTGCCTTTATTTACCTCATTTCCCCCCTTGAACAACTTTGACCCTTAAATCTTTAAGGTTGTTAAAGGCAGAAGGTCTCATCTTCTGTAGCATCTTCATGCTGCAATAAGGGCGTAGAGATGGGCTTACCTAAGGGTCAAGTCTAGTCTGTTGAGAATTTAATAGGAGTTAGAAAAGGCTAACTGCAACAATATCTAGAGTGGATATCATATGGGAGTTTTCTTGAGGAGAAAGGATCATCTGTTGGCTTGAAGTCATAGCATTGAAGGAGTCTCGGCACCAGGTGGAGAGACATGGGAGAAAACAGCAAAACATGATTAAAGTAACAAAAAGAGGCCCAAATAAGAGTCCTTTGATAGTTGACAAAAATCTTCCTTTAGTTCAGTCCAGGAGTTCAACCACTTATTAAAGGAAAGAGAAGGATCATTTAAAGTGCCAATTTGAGTATTTTTCAGTTAGAAACTCAGAAATATTTCTGTGGTAATCTGAATGTATACACAGCACTTTGTTTTTATGAGACCACAAATTCCACCTGTGCAACAGGTAAAATATCTAAGGCATTTTATTTTGAAGAATTGTTTAATGCATTTGAGTTATTTTAGTGTTTAATAATATAATGTTATTTTGAGAATCGTTTAAGGCCTTCATTGTGTAATAGGCAGTGTTAATCATCATACAGATTCTGTTTTGCTTAGTCAGGTGATTAGTAAGTGATAATTATAGAAACAAAAATACAGGTTAATGGTTAAAGCAAAATTATAAACCCAGTGTCTGCCAGTTCTACCAGTGAGATTTTTAGATGTTAAGCTTGAAGCATCCTCAGATAGACTGAGAACAGGCAGCAAGAATCAGATGGGGTTTTCTGGTTTGTAATTCAAATGTCTGTGGTGATCCATCTGAATGGCCCATAGAGCAACAGGCGCAAAAATTGTCTATACATGAGTTTTGTGACAATTTCTCTGAAGTTTGCCTCAAGTTGTCTAGTGTAGGCAAACAACAAACATTTAAAGGCAATCAGAACTAGAATTTAACATCCACAAAGGTGCGTTATTGAAATATAATTTTTCTCTCTAGTAACCCTGATTTCCAGAGAGAGCCAAATCAAGACTAATTCATTTGTAGAATGAGTCCACTTTTAACAAACTCAGCCTAATTATTTACATAAGCTCATCAAGGACAGTGATTGGTCATATAGATCTTTTAAAATTTGATTTGCTGGAACTTTTTATAAGGAACCTCTAGACTGAACTTTTAGTAGCCTCGCCAGGCCAGAAGCCAAGCCAAGTACTTGCCATCAGACATGCCTGCAATACCTATAGGATCGGGTGAATTCCTCTTCATGAGGTCCCCAAGGTATCCTGAGGTTCCTGCACCTGCTGGGAAGTGACCTTCTTTACTCACCTGGTAAGGCTGCTGGGAAATCTCTAAGCAAGGTATCAGACCAACATTTCCAAGGGGCTTTATTGGCTTCATGCTTCATAAAGTCAACCTTAATTCCTTAAAACTGTCTGGTCGTATCTGAGTCTATGCATGTCGCTCTCAAATATGACATTCCAGTCAAACCCTTGGTAAAATAACCAGTATCTCCAAGGGTGAACTGTTACAAGGAGAACAGATTCTTATTGAATTTATGCAAATAACTATAATGACCATGAAAGAAAGAATCCTTATTGAGAACTTTTGAATTTCAGAGCGTTCAGGTAGGGAGAAAATTAAATGCTTTATTTTGTTCACAAAGGAATATTTTATCACATTTCTGTAAGTCATAGGTATCTTAAGAGAAAGTTTCCTTAATCTGAAAGAACAAATATTAGAGGACAAGCAATATTTCCAACAAGAGTCACAAAAACTATAATTTTCCTTTGTGTGTGTGTGTGTGTGTGTGTGTGTGTGTGTGTGTGTGTGTAATTTTTGAGCAGTGACAGCATTTACCCAAGCAATACAACCTCAGGTTTACCATTATTTGTTTGATAGTGAGGAGGAAGCATAAGGCAGGCTGAGGGCAAAGTATAGGCTGATAGCAATCCTGCTTCTCCCCACCTCGCAGGTGGAATATGTGTGATATTCCTTGGATACTCCTGGCCACCCAAAAACAAAGGAAAGGGGTTTAAGTGCTTGCCATGGTGATGTGGGAAACTAAGGCAAATGAAAAATTAAATTCCCTTACTGCCTATAGTCCACTGACAAGTCCTTGAAACAGGTAGAGTGACTTCCCTCTACGAGCTCAGCTGCCTCCGTGATGACACTTTGCTGGGGGCAAAAGGGAATCTTGGCTTAACATTATCCTGACCGCCCCCCACCCCAGGGTCCTGTAAGTCTACTTTAACATATAAAAATTCCTTTGGAAACTTCCTTTATGTCAACTACCCTAACATATATGCTGGCAATCATAGCCTAAGCTTATGGCCCCCTGATATACATCTGAAGGATCTCATGACTGAGATTTTACTAAATAGCAATAAATGGTGTTTTCCTAACAGCACCTCCCCTCTCAAGGTCCTGGAAACTTTGCTTCCAAAATTCCTTAGAGACTTACTCTATCCCTAACTCCCTCTCAACCTGAGGGTATATAATTAGTTACCTGTCACAACCTCAGGGCAGCTCTTTCTGACCACAGGTCCTGTCCCCATGCTTTAATAAAATTACCATTTTGTACCAAAACCCCATCACTCACTGCCCTGTGTCTATAGAGAAGTGGGCCAAGACCATGCCCCAGCATGTGGCAGAGGCTGTCTCCTTGGAACACCTAACACTCAGAAACAACTTGGCCATTGTAGTTCCGGATGGTGACAAATGCCTTGAACTAGTCTACTGGCCAGCGCAGGTCTCCTTTTGCATGGCCTTAATCTTTAAAGGGACACATTAACAGAAAAAAAGTTGATCTCAAACTCCTTAATAGGCAAGGAGAAGAGTTAGAACGCCAAGTGATATGGTATGAAGTGTTGACCTTTGGAGCCAACTGCCAAAAAAAGAATTCTTGAGACATCTTTGGTGCAAAAAGTGGTTTTATTAAAGCATGGGGACAGGACCTGTGGGCAGAAAGACCTGCACTGAGGTTATGAAGAGTGACTGATTATATGCTTTCAGGTTGGGAGGTGGGTAGGGATAACATAAGTCTCTAAGGTAGTTTGGAAACAAGGTTTCCGGGACCTTGAGGGGCTAGCTGTTGTTAGGAAGAGGTCATTTATTACTGTTTAGTAAAAACTTAGTTATGAGACCCTTCAGAAGTATATCAGTGGGCCATAAGCTTGGAGTATGATTGCCAGACTATATCTTGGGGGGAAGAGGTACAAGAAGTTTCCAAAGGAATTTTTATATGTTAAAGTGGACTTACAGGATCCTGGGGGGTTGGGATAATGTTAAGCTAAGATTGCATTTTGCCCCTTAGCGAAGTGTCATCATTGAGACAGCTGAGCTCCTAGAGGAAGGTCACTCTGCCTGTGTCAAGGACTTGTCAATGGGCTATAGGTTATAAGGAAATTTAATTTTTCATTTACCTTTCTTTCCCACATCACAAGGAGTTTATCTTCATGTCCTTGAACAGGAGGCCCAACTTAGTGAGGAGATATCCTTGGCCTTGCCTGGCAAGTTCTGCAGCCTCCATCTCACCTGGACCACATCTAGGACCCGGACTAGGGCACTGTTGCTGAAGCCTCTGCATAGAACTTTCTGTAAGTGTAAGCTGTTTTTATTCTCCTCCACTCACATATTCACATTTTCAGGTAATCCTGACTTTTAATAATGGCCTTTAATAATCAATTTGACAACAATTAGATTTTTTCTAACTCAAATAATTGGCTCTGATAGTGATATTTCAGATCAAGAAGATCTGAACAGGATAAAAATTCATTTGCCTCAAGAGGAAATGGAAGTTTTGGGGCAGACCTATGGGGGAGCTGTCTGAAGCAAGCAGGCCTTTGTGGTACTTTGTGGATATGTTTTGAGTCTCTGAGCAGGACCAGGCATGCCCATGTAGAAGACAAAGGCAAGATTTCTCTAGAGAGTTTTAGAATTATTGTCAAAATCCCTAGGAAATGCAGTAACGTAAGTGAGGTGATTTGAAGTGTTGGAGTCTAGAGTCAATGGCCAAGAAAGATTTCTTGAGATGTCTTCAGTGCAAAAAGGTGTTTGTATTATAGCATGACAGGACCCTTGGACAAAAAGAGCTGCACTGAGATTGTGAAGAGCAGTTGACTGTATACTTTGGCGGGGGCGGGGATTTCCAAAAGGATTTTCATATGTTAAAGAAGACTTGCAGGATCCTGGAGGCCTGGCTATTGTCAAGCTAAGGTTCTTTTTCCCTCTAGCCAGGCATCACCATTAACACAGCTGGGGGAGTCCCTGGAGGAATGTTACACTCTGTGTCAAGTATTTGTCAATGGGCTGCAGGTAAAAGGAAATTTATTTTTATCTATGTTTCCTTTTGCCTTTGTTCTCCACATCATTGAAGAAACCCCAAGACTCCTAATTTTAGAGGGAGTGATTAGTGATGTTTGTGGAGACGGGTTTCATTATTCATTTCCATTTACATGCAGAGATTAGGAAGACATTATCTATGTGTTTAATGAAATACAACATTAAGTGATCTATAAGCCATTTTCAAATGTGAAAATACTAAATAATTGTTTTGGATACTTGCCATATCTCCTTGAAATGTGAGCTTGATTGCCCCTTTGACATGTAATCTTGTTATTTTGCACCTTTATCTCTTCTTTTCCTCAATGAACTTTTTTGTTTTTCAAAATAAAGTTTTTTTTGAGCACTTTAGGTGATCTTAATTTTTCATCAAAATTAAACTCCTTTGTGGATAAATTGGATATATCATGTCCTGTTCACTTCTAGTGTATATTTCCTAAGAATAAAGGAGTTCTCTTAATAACTGTAGCACAGTTATCCAATGTAGAAATTTAACCCTGATATATATTCTTTATTTAGTTATATTATTCTTATTTTTTAGAGTAAGCTGTACTCCCACTGTGAGGCTTGAACTTACCACCCTGAAATTGAGTCACATGCTCTACTGACTGAGCCAGCCAGGTGCCCTAAACCCTGATATAATATTCTTAAATTATATCTACAGTCCATATTCTAATTTCAACAAGTGTTCTAATAATATCCTTCCATTACAGTGAAGTCTGATAACATAAAAAATGGAGATCAGCCCTTAAAATTGCCTGAGTGCACAAAACCAGTTCAGTCATAAAACTGAATGTAGCCTATTTTCAAGACTAACTTGACTTGGGTCATTTATTCTTACTGCCTCTGAAAATCGCTGGCAAAACTTGAACTCTTTTTCCAAGATTGATATGAGGACCAACTCCCTTTCATTTAAGAAAATCCCAATATTATAACTAATAACTAACCACTGTGAAGAATAGTCATTGTCTTCCTTACCATACAGTAGTGCTTCCCCACTTACCTGCTGGGGATAAGTTCCAAGACCCCATAGTGGATGTCTGAAACCCTGTATATACCATGTTTTTTATACATACTATTGTACCTGGGATTCAGGGGTGCAAGAGCACCTGACTCCCGGGGTCTGAAACAGACTGGGTTCAGCAATTCTCTGCTGACAAAATCCAAAAGTGGAGAAACCAACTGTGGTGAAACAAGAAAGGAATGTATTTCAGTGAGGGCAACACCAGGAAGACCGTGAACTAGTGTCTCAAAGACTATCTCCAAAGTGCTAAAATACTTCCAGGTTTATATAAGGAAAATCTGGGGCAAAGGTGAGTGGGTCCATGTGGGTAGGCAGTGAAAGTCAAGTCAATCATTGTCTTAGAGTCAATCCAAACTTATTTTTCAGGTCTTGCTGGCTCAGGGCAGCCTTATTGCTTAAGAGGGTAGTTTGGATTCCCATCAGGGGATGTTTTGGCCCCAGGGTCTTCTTTTTTTTTTCTTTTAATGTTTATTTATTTTTGAGAGAGAGAGAGAGAGAGAGAGAGAAAGAGAGAGAGAGGGAGATAGTGCAAGCCAGGGAGGGGCAGTGAGAGAGGGAGACACAGGATCCAAAGCAGGTTCTGCGCTGACAGCAGAGAGCCAGATGTGGGGCTCTAACTAATGAACCATGAGATCACGACCTGAGCCGAAGTCAGACTCTTAACCAACTGAGCTACCTGGGCACCCACCCCCAGGGTCTTCTCCCTGAGCCAAGAAACAAACTGGAAAGAAGAACCCAACTAGAAACTGTGAGGTCAAAATGGGGGCAGCAGAGATCCTCCTTCACTATGATAAAGCTTAATTTATGAGTTAGGCATAGTAACAGATTACCAACAATAATAGAATAATTATAATAATGTACTATTAAAAAGTTATGTGCATATGATCTCTCAAACTATCTCATTGTACTGGACTCACCATTCTTCCTGTGATGTCTATGTGATGAGATGTAGTGAGGTGAATGACGTGGTCACCATGACATGGTGTTAGGCTACTGACGATTTGTCAGAAGGAAGATCCTCTGCTTCTGGATCACAGATGACCATGGGGAACTGAAACTGTGGAAAGCAAAACTAGATTGGGGTGGGGGTGGGGTACACTACTGTTAAACTGCTTTATAATAATAAACCCCTAAGCCTTATTCTATGTTTTTGTTTGAGTGCTTCCCATTTGTGAACTTTTGGTGTGTGCGGAAGAAACTTTTACTAATTACTTCTTCAATGATTCACTGGTTTGATTTGGCTATTTCTGAACTTATTGACAAGTCCAATGTAGAATATTTTGTTATCTTGCCTCTCTAATATCCTTTCACCTGGCACAGTTCCTTTTGTCTGATAATTCATGACATTAACATTCTTTGAAGAATACAGCCAGGCAATTTCAAAAATATAATTTATTGTCAAATTGGCTAACATACAGTGTCTAAAGTGTGCTCTTGGTTTTGGGGTTAGATTCCCGTGGTTCATCGCTTACATGCAACACCCAGTGTTCATCCCAACAAGTGCCCTCCTCAATGCCCATCACCCATTTCCCCCTCTCCCCTGCCCCACCATCAACTCTCAGTTTGTTCTCTGTATTTAAGAGTCTCTTGTGGTTTGCCTCCCTCTCTCTCTGTAACTATTTTATTTCCCCTTCCCTTCCCCCATGGTCTTCTGTTAAGTTTCTCAAGGTCCACGTATGAGTGAAAACATATGATATATGTCTTTTTCTAACTGACTTATTTCACTCAGCAAAAACCTTCCAATTTCATCCATGTTGTTGCAAATGACATGATTTCATTTTTTCTCATTGCCAAGTAGTATTCCATTATATATATACACCACATCTTTATCCATTCATCAATTGATGGACATTTAGGATCTTTCCATAATTTGGCTATTGTTGAAAGTGCTGCTCTAAACATTGGGGTACACGTGTCCCTATGAATCAGCACTCCTGTATCCTTTGGATAAATTCCTAGTATTGCTATTGCTGGGTATTAGGGTAGTTCTATTTTTACTTTTCTGAGGAACCTCCACACTGTTTTCCAGAGTGGCTGCATCAGTTTGCATTCCCACCACAGTGCAAGAGGGTTCCTGTTTCTCCACATCCTCGCCAGCATCTGTTGTTTCCTGAGTTGTTAATTTTAGCCACTCTGACCGGTGTGAGGTGGTATCTCAGTGTGGTTTTGATTTCTATTTCCCTGATGAGGAGTGATGTTGAGCATCTTTTCATGTGTCAGTTGGCCATCTGGATATCTTCTTTGGAAAAGTGTCTATTCATGTCTTCTGCCCATTTCTTCACTGGATTATTTGGTTTTTGGGTGTTGAGTTTGGTAAGTTCTTTATAGATTTTGGATACTAACCCTTTATCCGATATGTCATTTGCAAATATCTTGTTCCATTCTGTCAGTTGCCTTTTAGTTTTGTTGTGTTTCCTATGCAGTGTGGAAGCTTTTTATCTTGATGAGGTGCCAATAGTTCATTTTTGCTTTTAATTCCCTTGCCTTTGGAGATGTGTCAAGCAATAAATTGCTGAGGCTGAGGTCAAAGAGGTTGTTGCCTGCTTTTCCTCTAGGGTTTTGATGGTTTTCTGTCTCACATTTAGGTCTTTCATCAATTTTGAGTTTATTTTTGTGTATGGAAGAAAGTGGTCTAGTTTCATTCTTCTGCATGTTGCTGTCCAGTTTTCCTAGCGCCATTTGCTAAAGACACTGTCTTTTTACCATTGGATACCCTTTCCTGCTTTGTCAAAGATTAGTTGGCCATACATTTGTGGGTCCAATTCTGGGTTCTCTATTCTATTCCATTGGTCTATGTGTCTGTTTTTGTGCCAATATTATACTGTCTTGATGATTACAGCTTTGTAGTAGAGGCTGAAGTCTGCCTTCCACTTTGGTTTTCTTCTTCAATATTATTTTGGCTATTTGGGGTCCTTTGTGGTTGCATACAAATTTTAGTATTGTTTGTCCTAGCTTTGAGAAGAATGCCGGTGCAATTTTGATTGGGATTGCATTGTATGTGTAGATTGCTTCGGGGAGTATTGACATTTTAACAATATTTATTCTTCCAATCCATGAGCATGGGATGTTTTTCCATTTCTTTGTGTCTTCTTCAATTTTCCTCATACGTTTTCTATAGTTTTCAACATACAGATCTTTTCTATCTTTGGTTAGTGTTTTTTTAATTTTTAAAACATTTTTATTTATTTTTGAGAGACAGAGAACATGAGTGAGAGACGGGCACAGAGAGAG